TTAAGTTGCTATGAAGACATCATCAAAATAAGACCCCAGGAATTGATTAAATACCAAGTGACATGCTTCAGCTAACAGATGCAGCCCTGGATGTTCTCACTAGTTTATGTCAGGCAATTTAGAAGATAGCTAACTGGCCACCTGCCTGGAAAAGATCCTTATTTGTCCCTATTCCCAAGGAAGGTGATACAAAAGAATGCAGAAATTATTGAACAATATAATTAATATCTTATGTAAGCAAAATATTGTTGAAGATCATTCAAAAACAACTAGAACAATACACCGACAGGGTACTACCAAAAGTTCAAGCTGGCTTTAGAAGAAGCTATGGCACCAGGGATATCATTGCTGATGTCAGCTGGATCATGGCTGAAATGACATAATGTCAGAAGAATGTCTATTTGTGCTTTATTAACTATTCAAAGGCATTTGACTGTGTGGATCATAACAAATTATGGCTAACATTGAGAAGAATGGGAATGCTAGAACGCTTTATCGTGCTAATATGAAATCTATACCTAGACCAAGAAGCTGTTGTCCTAATGAAGCAATGGAACACTACATAGTTTAAAATCAGGAAAGTGTGCAGTTGTAGGTTGTTTCATTTCTCCATACCTATTCAACACAAATAACTTATGAAGCAGAACTTTATCAAGAAGAATGTGGCATCAAGATTGGAAATGCACTTATAAACAATTTGCATTATCCAGATGACATAACTTTGCTTACTGAAAGTGAGTAGCATATGAAACAATTGCTGTAGAAGATCAAGGACTACAGCCTTTACTATGGATTATCTCTCACCATTAAGAAAAAAAAGGTCCTCACCTCAAGATCAATAGTCAACATTTTGATAGATGGAGAAAGTCTTGAAGTGTCAATGATTAATCTTTCTTGGATTAACAATCAACATTATTGTTACCAGAAGTCAAGAAATCAAGAGGCATATTGAATTGGGCAAGTCTGCTGTCAAGGACCTCTCTAAAATGCGAAAGAGCAATAATGTCAATTTGAGAAGTAAGATGTGCCTGATTCAGGCCAAGGTCTTCTCAATTAACTGCTATGCATCAGAGAGATGGACAATAAATAAGGATGACAGAAGAATTGATGCCTTTGAGTTGTGAATATCCCATAGACTGCCAAAAAAAACAACCAAATAAATATGTCTTAAAGAAGCCACAACCAGAGTGCTCCTTGAAGGCAAGGATGACAAAGCTTCACCTTTCCTTTGGAAAGAGAGATCATGCTTGTAAATATATAGAGTCAGTGAAGGATAAGAAGATCACCAATGAGATAAATGGACATGATGACTTCAGCATGGACTTTAGCTGTTTGTATCGATTTGATGGCACCTAACAAAATGTCAAGAAACAAAGATTCTTACCACTGGACTCATAGGAAGTGCCATGATGGATGGAGAGAAGATAGAAACTGTCAACAGCTTCACCTTTCTTGGATCTACAATTAACAACTTTAGTACCAGCAGTTGGTAAATAAGAAGATGCATTACATTGATAAAATCTGCAGTGAGGGACCTCTCTTAATTATTGAAGAGTAATGATGTGAGTTTGAGGACTAAGGTGTGTCTGATTCAGGCCATGGTCTTTCCAATGACTTGCTATGGATCTGAGAGTGGGACAATGAATAAGTATGTTAGAAAAAGAATTGACGCCTTTGATCTGTGGTGTTGGAGAAGGGCACTGAACATACCATGGATGGCCAAGAGAACAAACAGGTATGTCTTGGAGAGGGTGCAGCCGGAGTGCTCTTTGGAGGCAAGAATGAAGAAACTTTGCCTCACATACTTAGGGCATGTTTTCAGGAGATGGTATTCCTTGGAGAAGGACAAGATACTGGGGAAAGTGAAGGGTCAGTGAAGGACAGGAAGACCATCAACCAGGTGGATTGACACACTCACTCCCATAATGTGCTCTTATGTGTCAGGGAGCATAAGGATAGCACAGGATAGAACAGGGTTCAGATCTTTTGTTCATAGTGTCGCTATAAGTTGTACTTAACTTCATGGCACCTAACAACAACAGCAATAAAAAACTGATAGAATATAATACCAACTGAGTTATTTCAGTAAAGAAATGCATGTCTGGATGTGCTCACTAGTTCATGCCAAGAAATTTGGAAGACAGCAACCTGGTTTACAGATTAGAAGAGATTCATATTTGTTCCAATTCCCAAACAAGTAGGTTTAAAAGAAAGAGGAAATTCTTGAACAATATCATTAATATCATTGTTGTTGTTGTTGTGTACCATCGAGTTAGAACCGACCCATGGCTGACCCCATATCAGGTTTTCAGAGACAGTTAATTGCACGGAGGAGATTGCCCATACTTTTCCCGCAGAGCAGCTGATGGTCTCGAAGCCCTTGACTTTGGGATTACAGCACAGCATCTTGCCACTAGGCCATCAGAGCTCCCTATTAATATAATCTTGTTGTTGTGTTGTTATGTGCCATCGATTTGCTTGCAACTCATAGTAACCCTATGTACAAGAGCCCTAAGCGTCGTTCTATCCTGTGCCAACCTCACCATCTCAAACACACTCATTCCCACCTCCCCAATCACAGAATCGATCCATCTCATTGAGGATCTTCCTCTCGCGCCGTCCCTCCACTCTGCGAAACATAATGTCCCTCTCCAAGGACCAGTCCCTCCTTGCAACATGCCCAAAGTATGTCAGACGAAGCTTCAGAATCCTTGACTCCCAGGAGCAATCTGGCTTCACCCTCTCCAGGACAAACCTGTTTGTTCTTCTAGCAGTCCATGGTATATTCAACACTCTTCTCCAGCACCACAGCTCAAAGGCATCAATTCTCTTTCTATCATCCCTAGTCACTATCTAACTCTCTGATGCATAGCATGTAATTGCAAAGACTATAGCCTGGATCAGGTGCACCTTAGTCTCCAGTCTGACATCTTTGCTCTTCAGCAGGGTTGTGTCATCTGCATAACGCAGATTGTTAATGACGCTTCCACCAATCCTAAAGCCACATTCCTCCTCGCATAGCCCAGTATATCAGATGATCTGTTCTGCATACAGATTGGAAAGGTATGGAGACAAAATACATCCCTGATGGACCTCCTTCTTGATTTTGAACCATATAGTGTCTTCTTGCTCTCTTCTGACGACTGCCTCTTGGTCCAAGTATAGGTTTTGCATTAGCACAATCAAATGTTCTGGCATTCCAATTCTTCTCAGAGTCAGCTATAGCTTGTTGTGATCCACATAGTGAAAAGCCTTTGCAGAGTCAATGAAGCACAGATATAGGCAAGTAAAATCTTGCTGAAAATTATTAAAAATTGAGTGGAGCAGTACCTTGACAAAAACTGACAGAAATATATAATTATTGAAGTGAGATGGGTCTTGGCTGAAAATAGAGTATATCAGAAAGATGTTTACTTGTGTTTTATTGACTATGTAAAAGCCTTCGATTGTGGAGATAATAATACATTATTAATAACATTGAGAAGAATGAGAATTCCAGAACACTTAATTGTGTTCTTACAAAATGAGCACATAGAGCAAGAAGCAGTCTTTCCAATAGAACTAGGGGATACTGCAGGGTTTAAAATCAAGAAAAGTGTGTGTTTAGGTTGGTTTTTTCTCCATACCTATTCATTACTTTTGTTGAGCAAATAACTTGAGAAACTGGACTATGTGAAGAAGAATTTGGCATTAGGATCAGAGGAAGACTCATCAACAATCTGAGTTATGCAGATAATGCAACTTTGCCTCCAAAAGTTAAAAAGACTTGAAGGACTGACTGAAGAAGGTTCAAGATTGTAGTCAGCAATATGGATTACACCACAACATTAAGAAGACAAAGATTTTTGTCTCATTTAGTGCAGTGTCAGACATGAGTTAAGGTTTGTTTCTTCACCACCTGGGACCTGCACTAAGCAACCATGTCCAAGGGCCCTGAGTAAAGAAGACATTGAACCAATGGTCCAGGAGGCTGAGAAGTACAAAACTGAAGATGAGAAGCAAAGAGATAAAGTGTCTTCTAAGAATTCCCTTGAGTCTTATGCATTTAATATGAAAGCAACAGTTGAAGATGAAAAGCTTCAAGGCAAGAGAAATGACGAGGAGGACAAGCAGAAGATTTGGCTTGATAAGAATCAGACTGCAGCAAAGGAAGAATTTGAGCATCAGCAAAAGGAACTAGAAAAGGTCTGCAACCCCATCATCACCAAGCTGTACCAGACTGCTGGAGGCATGCCCAGAGGCATGCCTGGAGGCTTCCCTGGTGGTGGAGCTCCTCCATCTGGTGGTGCCTCTTCTGGATCCACCATTGAAGAGGTTGACTAAACCAATCTGCATACTTTAGCATTCATTGTCCCACAGTTAAATTTTGAAGGACCCAAACTTTTAGCAAACTGCAGTTAAAAAGTCTAAAGTGCTAGACTTTTACTGTCTCTGAAAACCCACTTGGAGGGTCAATTGTAGGTCAGTTCTGATTCAATGGTACACAACAACAACACGCCTGGACAAATGGATGGTAAGTAAAAAAGAAAGAAAGATCCTAAATGAGATGGGATGATAGAATGACTACAAAGATTGGTTTGAGCATGGTAGTGATTATGAAGGTGGTTTGGGATAGAGCAAGGTTTGTCCTCCACAGGTTTGGTATAGTCATAGTGGATTGGATGGTACTTAAGAACAACAATGCACCATGATCTCAGTATGTTGTTGTAGTTGATATGTTCTATCAAGTTGAAACTGACTCATAACTAACCTTTCACCAGGTTTGCATAGACTATAAATCACACAGGAGGAGATTGCCCATTTGAATTCTCTATCTGGTGCCTTTGATTTGGCAGTGTAATTCTATTTACCTGACCACTTGAGCTCCCAATTATTGTACAGTGGTAAGGCGTATTTTGACAGATGATGTGCTTTTATTCATGTCTTCAAACGCCCTGCTAAGTCTGAGTGTGAATAAGAATAAAATTTTATGTAATTTAATGTGGCTATTGTTTTCTTACCTGACAGTGTTGTATTTCATCTGGCAAGACATGGATAACTGATTGGGGCCCACCTTTTACACCAAACAGATCCAATTCATCTAACGCTTCTAGGGCTGCCTGTGAGGAACAAAGAAGGAAAGAATAACTTCAGCTTTTTATTGTTGTTATTGTTATTAGGTGTCATCAAGGCAAGTATGACTCATAGTGACCCTATGAACAATAGAACTAAATTCTTTCCTATCCTGTGCAGTTCTCACACCTCCTGACACACTAGAGCCCATTGCATCAGTCATAGTGTCAATGCACCTGGTAAAGGAGTTTCCTCTCCTTTGTCGACCCTCTACCTTTCTGAGCATCATGTCCTTCTCCCAAGAATAGCCTCTCCTAGCAACACACCTGAATTAAAGACCCTATGAACTGCAGCATAAGCCATACTTAATATTACACACACACACACACACACACACACACACAGAGTTGGCCTAGTGGACAAAAAGTAATGCTACGAAGCCAAAGGTGGGTGACTCGAATCTGTGGCCCTCAGGCCTGTTTTTAATTGTTTTTGGTGAAACATTCTTCTGGCGTGTCCACTTGCTGTACAGAGGTAACTCGTGGTTGCAATGAAGCTGAACACTGTGACACTAATGTGTCAAACGCGAGAATGGTTACCCATGGTGGACAGTGTTTGGTGGAATTCCTCGATTAAAACAAACTTGGAAGTAGGAGTGGCATCCACTTCCAAAATAGCTTGCCTCTGTAAAACCCTATGAACCTGGAGAAAGGACGAAAGTGTCCAGGTCTTCTGTTCATAGGGTTGCTATGAGTCGCCTACGATTCAACAGTACTTAACAACAACAACACACACACACACACACACACACACACACACACACACACACATAGTTTTTTTCTTGTTCCCCAATATCTCAACAATGCACATGGTGTTACTTTAAATATGCATAATAGGAAAGAAAGTACAGCAACCACATTTTTCCTTGGGGGCTGTGTGTGTGTCTCAGTTTTCCTTTGTTTCTTTCTTGTCCTACAAATGTAGTTATAAGAAGGAGACCATAGCACTATAAAATGAATTAGCAATCAAGCTAAAGCATCACAAATTAACTTATTAAACCATTTTTGACAAGGGAGAATCAATGAAGATACAAACATATAATCCTAGAAGTTGTATGCCTAGAAGGTATATACATGACAGCCATTATGTTTTGCCACATAGTTGAAATTCCACAAACAAATGAAAGGGCTAGAATAATATTTATCTGTATTTTACATAAAGATACAAAATATCATTGATCATGGCAAACGATTTTTTCTATATTTTTAGATACACTGTTTTCTTTAAATTAGGGGTTTTTTTTGTATGTTTGTTTTGTTTTTTCTATCTCCATGCCTTTTTTGTTTTTATTTTTCTACTAATTTATTTACAAAATTCAAACACAAATTTGAAAAAGTTCAATTTCCCTCACCCCATCCATCAAATTGTACAGCCCAATGATTAATCCCCTCTTCCCGCTGCACATCGACATCCCTCTGCTTCCAGACTCTCTCACCCCTCCTGGACCCTTATACTCATTCTACAATAAAGATTTTATAAAATATTTATCCTTATGGGACTGAGTTAGTTCACTCAGCATAATTCATTCCAGTTTCTTTCAAGTTAGGTAATAATTTACAAATTTATTGCTCCTGCATGCTGCATAGTATTCCATTGTGTGAATGTACCATAATTTCTCAATCCATTTATTTGTGTTGGACATTTGGGCTGTTACCATGTTCTCGCGATGGTGAATAATGCTACTATGAACATTGGTGTACAAATCTCAGTTTGTGCCTCAGGTCTTATATTCTCAGGGTATATTCCAAGTAGTGGAATAGCTGGGTCTATTTAAAAATAGAAGCATTAGTTTTAAAATGTCTTACCTTCTAAATTAGATCAGCAGCAGAGGGAAGTGTGTGGCATGATAGAAGTAACTTGAGACATAAGCCATCATATTAAGGCCTGACTGAGGGGAGGGAGGTGCTAGGCAGTGTAAGCAGGAGTGGAAAGGAATTCCAGTGGAATAGGGAAAGTGATAGGACAAGACACACGTGCCAAGTGGGGGGGGGCAGGGTGAAACATGTGGTGGTGACACTGAATCCTCTGTTTACTTCAACAATGGGGAATCATCTGCTCCTTTCAGTAAAATACTTGTCTGTCAGACATTGTCCTAAAACTGAGCACCCAAATTAAGACAGATTAGGAAGAAGGATTTGCCATCCACTTCCAAAATAACAGGTGTTCAAGAAACCTATGTACAATAGAGCACACTTAGAGTAGAGTGGCAGATATGGCACCTGAGGCCAAGCCCTCAAATTTTGAAACACAAATGAAGAGGAACAATCATAAAGACACTAACGTGAACATGAAATGTGAGGAGCATGAATGTAGGAAAATTGGACTTTGTTAAGAAAGAAATGGAAGGCATAAATATTGACATCATAACTATTGGCAAAATGAGATGGATTGGAAAAAAACACATTTGAATCAGAAAATCATTTCCTACACTGGAGATAAAAAGGTGAGGAACAATGGGGTCTATTCCATAGTTTAAAAATGTCTTTTCTATATTCATCATAAAATACAATGTTATGGATGACAGGATAATATCCACACGCAAAAAAGGAAGTCCACTGGATACCACTGTTATTCAAATACATACACCCAAAACCAGATGCAAAGAGAAATAAATAGATGATTTCTGCCAACTTTTGCAGTCAGAAATAGATCACACATGCAATCAAGATGCATTAAGAATAATGCGTGATTGAAATGCAAAAGTTGGGAACAGGGAATAAGTAGTCAGAAAACATAAACCTGGTGACAGAAATAAGGCTGCAGGTAAAATGATAAAATTTTGCACAATCAATTATTTATTCATTGCAAATACCTTTTATAAGAAACATAAACAGTGACTATACATATAGATTTCACCTGACCATATGCACAAAAATTGGATCGATCAAATCTGTGGAAAGACTCATTGGAGCTCAATCAACTGTGAAAACTAGGCCAAGTGTTGATTGTGGATGAGAACATCAACTACTCATTTGGAAGTTCAAAGTAAAGCAAAAGAAGGTTAAATCAAATCCACAGGAACAAAAATTTGACCTACAGTCTATCCTGTCTGAATTTAAAAACTATCTCAGGAACAGGTTTGAGGCCTTGAACACTAATGAACGAAGATCAGATGCGAGAGGATATCAAGAATACAATCCACAGAGAATGTAAAAAAGTCATTGTAAAGTCAGAGGAGGATGAAAAGGCCAAGATGAATGCCAGAAGAGACTCTAAATATTGTACTAGAGTTCCAAGAAGACAAAGTAAAGGGAAGAATGCAGAAAGTTAAGCAGCTGAACAGAAAAGCAGCTCAGGAAGAAAAAGTATTACAACGAAATGTGCAAAGGTGCTGGAGTTAGAAAATTGAAAGGGCCGAACTAGTTTGTCATTTCTTAAGCTGAGGGAACTGAAGAATCAATTCAAGTCTCTAGTTGCAATACGTAATGATGCTATGGGGAGAAGAATATTGAATGATCCAGGAAGCATTAAAAGAAGATGGAAGTAATATACAGAGTCACTCTACCAAAGAAGAATTGACTGACATAGAATAATTTCAGGAAACAACATATGCTCAAGAAGCAAAGGTTATGAAGGAGGAGGTTAGAGCTACTCTGAAGGAATTGGCAAAAATAAAACAAAACCAAAAAAACCCCCAAAACCCAAGGAATCAGGATTTGATTAAATACCAATTGACATATTTCAACAAATAGATGCTACCCTGGATATATTCACCAGGTTGTGCCAAGAAATCGGGATAACTCCCTGGCCAACTGACTGGAAGAGACCTGTACTTACTCCCATTCCAAAAAAAAAGATGACTCAAATGAGTTGTGGTACTGGAGAAGAGTATTGAACATACCATGGACTGCTAAGAGAAAAAAACAACAGGTCTGTCTTGTAGAAGGTGAAACCAGGCTGCTCCTTGGAGGCAAGGATTTTGAAGTTCTGTCTCACATACTTTGGGCATATGGCCAGGAGGGACCAGTCATTAGAGGAGGACATCATTGATGGAGGGACAGCACAAAAGAGGAAGATCTTGGATGAGATAGATTGACTCAGTGATTAGGATAATGGGGGTAGGTGTATTGGAGACAATGAAATTGGCTCAAGAGAGAGCAGAGTTCAGATCTGTTGTACAGGTCACTATGAGTTGCAAGCAGCTGGATAGCACATAACAACAAAAATAAACTGTGGAAATTATTTAAAATATCATTAATATCATATGTGAGTAACCTCCTGATGAAGATTATGTGAAGATGACTGGAACAATACATCAACAGAGAACTACCCAAAATACAAGCTGGGTTTAGAAGAGGTAGTGGCACTAGAGACTTTATTGCCAATGTCAGATAAGCAAAGAGTACCAGAGAAATGTGTGTCTATGTTTCATTGACTACGCAAAGGCATAAGTCTGTGTGTATCACAAATTGTGGCTAACTTTGAGAAGGTAACACTTGATTGTGCTTATGTGAAACCTTTAGTTGAACCAGGAGGCAGTCCTCAGACCACAGCAAGGAAGCACTACATAGTTCAAAATTAGGAAAGGAGTGTGTCAGGGATGTGTCCTGTCTCTATAACTTCCATTGCCTACACAGATAGTTTAGGAGGCTGGACTTTATGTGGAAGAATGTGGCATACAGATTAGAGGAAAACTCAGCAACAACCTGGGTTATGCAAATGACACACCCTTGTTTGCTGAAACTGAGAAGGACCTGAAGCATTTTCTGGAGAAGACCAAAGACTGTAGTCTTCAATATGGATTGAAGCTTAACATCAAGAAAACAAAAATTTTCACCACTGTGCCAAAAGGCTACACCATAATTGATAAGAGAAGAGAATGAGGTTGTTTCTTCAGCTTGCTTGGCTCCTCAATCAACAATCTTGGCACCAGAAGCCACAAAATCAAAACACAAATTGCATTAGGATGTTTGCTGCCAAAGAGTAATGATATCAGTCTAGAGACTAAGGTGCACCTGATCCAGCCCATGATCTTCACAAATACTTG